CCTTGAGTTTAAACAGCATCAAAACCTTCCTCATCCTCCTCTGACCGTGGTGCAAACTGGTTGTCTGAGCAGCGTTAAGCCCTGATGTACATATTTCAGTTTCACAGTTTGGGCATCATTTTAGTCAAAATGTGTCAGTTCTAAGTGGGTATTTGCAAACTTGCCATGCACTGTATTTATTCTCCCAATCCTATATTATCCTGCGCAGCGCTATAGCTGCCAAAACCACATGCTCATGTTGGCATGAAACAATTATCCTGGTTTATATAGAACAGGCTTGGCAATAGTCTATCTGAATGAACAGTCACAGTGCTGAAAGATTCAGAATCATCTTTCCTTCTCCAAGCAACAGACTAAATTTCTTTCAGCTGGATTTATAGTTGTAAAAAAATAAGAGGAGTATAAAGTAAGTATGGAGAGCAGAGTGTATACACCTGTAAGGTCTGGAAGGAAGTGAGAATGAGATGCAGAGGAAAAAAAAGACTATTTAAGATACAAGCTAGTAATTTGGTTTCTAAACCCATGTGAAATTATAAATAATGTTTACTGTTGCCAGTTGGTGAACAGAGAGATGTGTGGTTTTTTACTTGCATGCAAAGCTATTGGTTGTGGGTGAAGTACTTAGACAAAAATATTCGATTGCTGGTGTGGGTATTCCACAAAAAATGAGCCCAAACAAACACTGACTTATTATAAAAGCACTTTTTTCTGTGGAGACAAACATTCAGTTGCTGCTGCTCTTGGTGAACTGTAAAACTGTTAAAGCCTCCTGTTTAACTTGCCTGAAATAATAATACTTTCTTCTAGAAAGTAACGCAAACATCTCTGAAACTTAAGAACCAGTATTACACATTTTTCATTAAAATGCAGTATATGCTCTAAACTTACAGGGATATTAATCAATGATAACTACTTGCCAAGGTCTTGTGAAACAAAAATACCACACAGACAATGGGAAAGGGTAGGAAACTTTTCTTAAACTTAAAAAAATGTTAACTGAAAGTGGACTTAAAAATTAGTAACAGAAAAATTGTTTTGCAGCTATTAGCAAAGGTTAGTAAAGACTTATTTTTCATCCTTTTTTTTTCCAGACAGCTTCACAAAGAGATTTTTAAAATTGTTCTCTATTATGAAAGTAACTGCTACTTTGTTATCAGAATAGTGATAGAGATTTTTATTCCAGAAGGCCAGACACTACCACTACTTGAAATTCTCTAAATTGTTTCCACTGTGAGCAAATTCAGTCTTGATGCAAGTCACATCTGCTTTAAAGTGAATAGCAGTTGCTTCCACTTTACACCAGCATCAGATTTCACCTACAATCTTAGTTTTTAACAATCAACTTAAATCCCAGGATTTGGATAGTTTTGCATAAGTGCATTTAAATCCAGAAGTACCCAATAGGAAATACTGAAATAAAAACATTCAGCTTTAGTTGTTTCTAGTGGAAACAGAGACATTTCCTTTCAGATAGGCATGTCTTGTGAACTAAAAAAAAAAAAAAAGTCTATTTAAATTTTTGTACTTATGGACAAAAAAAGTAGTGATCACACCTAAATGTAGTTTCTCATCCAGCAAGCAGGGATGGGTGGTGAGTGGAGAGAAGAGCAGGGGAACAGGCCCCCTGCGTGAATTGCAGGCTTAGCTGTGCAGGATGTACTGAGGATCAATTGCACGTCTAGCGCGGCAGCTGCGGCTGCACAGCACAGAGGTGTCGGGCTCACCACTGCTCCTGTTGGTTCCCAGTCCTTCCGAGCACGAGCTGTTTCAGCCGTTCCATCGCTCCGACCGGCACTGATGGATTAGTGGGAGGAAATGTTTATAGAAAGGTTCAGGTTTCCTAAGTGAGTAGAATGAAACCCCCCTCAGCAATGATCAGCAAGCTCATGTCATGGAGCAGTCTGAAGCAGCCTGACTCGCAGGAAAGCAAAGGCCTTTTCAAAAAGGAAACTTGACAAGTGAGTGATTCTGGGGAGCAGCCAGAGGTGTTTTCAAATAGAAGATACGGCTTTTCTAGAGAGCCAGCATGAATGGGGCTGGCTCTGAAAATAACTTTACAGCAGTAGTTCAAACATTTTAAATATAAAAGATTAAGTTTAAGAGCACAGTGTCCGAATAAAATAGTGCCCTGAGAGAAAGTGCAACTATTGCACACTGTGCTCAGTAAATAAACAATATTGCAGCGCAACCACAGCTATCATGTTGGCATCCAGCTAAGCATCTTAGATCTCTGTTCTGTAACTTAAATTTTCATACAGCCATAGTTTAAGGCAAAGGAAGGGTGATGAACCCAATAAATAAGCTGAAATCATTGCGAGAGAAAAGCTAGAAGCTACAGTCATTTCACAGGTGTAAAATTCTGTTTGCTGGGGCACTCTCCATGATTGTAGCAACACAGCTTGAGATCTAAACATTCATTTTGGTTTGAAAACTGAAATAACATAGACCATTCCATTGAAGCTATCAGCTTTCAGATGACTGTGATAAGAAAGAATGCAGGCTTCGGGCTAGCTATTAAGATTAAAGTAAAATTCACCTGAACAAAACTGGAGATAGCAAAGGTGTAGGGGAGAAAAAAAAGCCAGTTTAAAATACTGCCCTTTGAAAGCTATTGAAAAAGACCTAGTCCCTAGTTTTTCCCTAAAACACTCCACCAGTCAAAGTGAGGATTTAATTTATAGCACTTGTAGCACTCCCCAGTTCTCACTCTCAAAGTCCCTTTGGAATGGGAAGAGAGTATTATCCTTATTTTCTAGATAAGGAAACTGGTTTATCAGCTTGCCCTCAGTGAGAGGCAGAGGCTGGAAGAAAACTTGGCTAGGATGCAAGTACCTCAAGCAAGGGCAAACATTTGAAACTGTCTTAAAATGTGATCTTCTGTTGTGAGGGGCCAGTACTCAGAAAGGCCAGTTTCAAATCACAGCTGAGTTTCTGGTCAGTATATTCACCTGAAAGTCTCTTGCATCTCCCACAACAAAGCAGGGGGGGAAAGACCCCACTTGCAGAGCTGCCCCCCCCCCCCTTTTATAACCTGCCCTGTGTTTAGAGACTGAAAGAACTTCATTGGAACCCTTGTATTAAAAATTATTTATTTAGTGATCTGTACATGGGATGAAGCAGGGCCTCATACAGACCTTCAAAAAATCAAGTAAAAACATAAATACATATTTCCTTACAAAAATGAGATTTACAAAATATACATACTGCACTTGTCTTACACTTTTTTTTTCTTTTTCTTCCACGTGCACATTATAAAAGACAAACACCCAAGCCCTGCAAGTCTGAGATCAGATCTACTGAAGGATTTGGCTGATGGGCCCACTCCTCCTGCCCAGACTACACCCTCAGACAGCAGCAGTCTGCCCCTTCACCCTGGACAGGTTTTTTCTTTTTAAGTTTCATTCCAGACACTTTTCCCCCCAAAAAAACAAAGAGCAGCTATAGGGTGGAGACTTGCTAAAAATCCAGAATTTGCTACTTTGTCCTTAGGCAAGAATATACACACACACACACACACACATATATATACTTATAAAAACAACCCTTCAGTAAATATAAAGTAGTAGGCAAAAAATAAAATATGAACAAGTCAACATAAAAATTTCAGGATAGAAAAATCTGTCACATTTCAAAAAGAAAACAATGCATTTGATGATTAATTTTTGAATGTCTTTCCTTCCAAGGCATGATGACTGGAAACTTAACCAGCTGTGTTTGAGCTGAAATGAGATGGCTCCTCACTTGGTAACTGGTTGCCTTAACCCCAGCCCCCTCCTCACCACGAGTCATTGCCATGCACATCAGGGAACCTGAGAGCAGGCAAAGGGTCCACCGTGAGCCAAAAGGATTCCTCCTGTCCCCAGAAGCTGGCTGGGTATTCACTCTACCTGCAGTGAGCTCACAGCAAAGCAGGAGAGAAGGAAGGTTTATGGGAAGAAGAAAAAAAAAAAATAGTATCTTTACGTTACATATTTTAATGGCTCTTGTTTTGGCAGGTGCTCTCGGTTACACTCTTCTTGCCTTCTAAGTCTTGCGTTCCTTTCAGCTTAGAAAAGCGACCCATATATTGAAGGGTAGGAAAACATCCTGCCTTCTCCTTTTTTCATAAAAGGAATGTTTATTTCTGCGAGCTCCTCACATCCAAGGGTGAACCTCAACGACTTCTTTTTGTTAGTTTCCCCATAAAAAACGATCCCATGCTTATGCCTTTCTACATAGAAAACACTTTTGTTTCCCCCTTTGTCTCCTAGAACAAAGGCAAGGGGGAAAAGCCTTCTGCTGAAAAGCAACAAGTCATTTCTTTTCAGGGTGTGGAACAGCAACCCCCTCCTTCCCCACAGCAGCAAGAACAGACCGAGGGCCGAATTTTCACTTTAAAACAATTAAAACAGGTATCACTGAGGTAAAGAGGAACTTTTGAGTGGGCAGAGCAGAGGCATCTCGCCCGCAGACGATGCGGGCTGGCGCTGGTTGTGCGGTACTCACGTGATCGCTCCGCCGAGCTGGAAGGGGCAGCAGCCAGGGCCGGCTCAGGCTCGGGGGTTACCCTGCCTGCGCTGCAGTCTGACCCCAGCCATTCAGAGAGGGTTTGGCTACTTCTCAGCAGGGGCAGCTCAACAGATCTGGCTTCCCCTCCCTCTCGTCCAAAGCAAGGCAGGATGGCTTTAGCTGGGTTGGGTTTTTTTCCTGCACAGGGGTAGCTGGAGAGTGAGGTAATGGGACTTCTTGTGGGCAAAGGGCTCTCCCATCCCACCACTGGCCTCTTTTTCTGTGCTCTTCCACTTCGTTAGGCATAAGCACCACTGGACACAGTCCATCTGATCCTTTACATCAGGATGGGTTTTTTTCAAACCCTCTGGGAGGAAGAAAAAGTTTGGAAAAGCCTCCCTTCCTCCCTCCCTCTTCAGGGAGCCATTCCCTTCCTTCTGCCGAGTAATCCCTCTCCTCTGTGTGTGTGTGCATGTGTGCGGGTGTGTGTGTGTGCCAGAGGGGACGGGGGCCTCATACTGCTGTCTCGCCTTTGCTGCCAGTGCTGAGTCTGTGGTAGAAGCGTCGCCAGGACTGAAGGGTTTTGCCCGACCAGATCCAGAAGCCAGTTGTGATACCAACAATCATGGTCATGAGATACTTGATCATGAAGACAGTGAAGTCCGGGCTCATGGGGGCAAAGTGGCTAGGACAGGGCACAGCATAGGTTTTGCAGGTCTGGAGGAGCCACGTCTTCTCCCAGGTGCCACGGAAGGCCTGCTCGTAGAAGTAACATGCCAGGACAATGGTGGCAGGCACCGTGTAGAGGACGCTAAAGACACCAATGCGCACCATCAACTTCTCCAGTTTCTCTGTCTTGGTGCCGTCATGCTTCATGATGGTGCGGATGCGAAACAAGGACACGAAGCCAGCAAGCAAGAAGGAAGTTCCAATGAAGAGGTACACAAACAAGGGCGCCAGCACAAAGCCCCGCAGCGAGTCCACGCTGTAGATACCTACATAACACACCCCACTGAGTACGTCCCCATCCACCTGCCCCATGGCCAAGATGGTGATGGTTTTGACAGCGGGAACAGCCCAGGCAGCCAGGTGGAAATACTGAGAGTTAGCCTCGATGGCCTCGTGGCCCCACTTCATGCCAGCAGCCAGGAACCAGGTGAGGGACAGGATGACCCACCAGATGGAGCTGGCCATGCCAAAGAAGTAGAGGATCATGAAGAGGATGGTGCAGCCTTCTTTCTTGGTGCCCTGGGCCACAGTGCGGTAGCCATCCTCAGAGAAGCGCTCCAGACAC